GCTGATTGAAATTCCGGAGTAATCTATTTTATTTTTTTTATTATTTTTATTATATTCTATTTCTATTATTTATTTGTATAACGATCTAATTTATTTAACTTTATTAAAGAAGAATCATCTTACTTAGAGTACAATTTATGACTAAAAGTACAATTTATGACCAAAAGTAAGGTTATCGATAATAGTAATATTTATTACTTAGAGTAAAATTCATTACTTAGAGTAATATTCATCACTAAGTCAAATTCATTACTAATACTAATTAATAATTGTATATAAGGGGCTTGAATTTGATGCGCTTGTAAAATAACTTTGTAACAAGTTAACTTAGTAATAAGTTAATAAATTACTTCCAACTAAATAAATATTCTTATTATATCTTCTTTAAACAAAATTATCCATTAATAGCAAATTAATTTGTTTAGTAACCTATTCATTCTAACACATGCTCTCCCGAAAATTAATTGGTGACAATAATATGAATTTGAAAACCTATTGGAAACCTGGATTTGCTCTAAAGTGTAATCAAAGGTATGGAAAGAAGGATGGTAAGAAGTTTGATTTAAATAATTAAAAGGCATGTTTTTAGCTGGTAATATAGAAAAAAGTAAAATACTCTCTTGATTTAGTCAACATCACAGAAAGTAGGAGGCTGTAAACACACACAGTCAGATTGCTTGTCTATTTCTTTCATGTCTTGTTTAATTCTCATAGTGTGTTTTCCGCTTTGACTTCCAGCCACTGGCGCAGAAAGTTTGTTCTGATAGTAAGGCTCTAAGCTGTTCCCTATCCTACCATCGTCTAGTTAACAAAAAAACACTTTCTGTTTCTTCATTATTTCTTTTTAATACATTAATATTATTTTTATGAGTTGTCAAAATGATATTTACTTACTAAACTCTTAAAGTATCAAGTATAAATTTTAAAAAAATACTATTTTGATTAAAAGAAAGATAATCTTCAAATTTTTGATATGTATTGATTGTATTGATAATATCATCAAGGTTATTGAATTTTTTTGTTGATTCTAACAATTTTATAACATTTAAATCAGCAATAGAAGATATAAACTCCTCGAATTTTGATGAAAAATTAGTATTATCAGTTAATTTGTTTTTAACATATTTGTAAATATTTGAACGGTTTTTAGAAGTATCTTGTAGGTCTATTACTCCAATTCTAATATAATCACTAATAAAGATATCAAATAATTAGTTAATTAACCAAAATAAAATAATTTTAATAAAGTATCTTACTTTTTTGGTGATCTTTCATAGAGCAGTTCCATTTCCGTTTTAAATTTTTCTAAATCCTATAAAATAAATTTTTTTTAATTTTTCCAGAATTACCAAATCATAATTCTAGATAGT